CTTTATCCACAATACATGAGCAAAAACATGCCTATACAAAAATCTTTGTAACTCTTCAGAATAGATATGAACTCCCAATATTTTGTCATATTGAGATAGATTATGAGTCGGAGATATGATTTCATGTCTCAATTGACCCTCAATTAACTAATGACGTCATCATAATGGCCTCCAAACTCAAAATTTCAATTTGCATATTTTGACGTTTGCATATTTTTGGAAAATTGATTGTATCTCTGTAAATATTGATTGATTTTGTTTAAAATTTTGATATGTTCTAGCTGAGATAATTTTGTACAAATAATGTACTCACATTTTTCCAGTTTGACAAGGGTATCATGGCGTATCTTTGCGATTAAAGGAGGCATGTCAATTTTTCACATTTTGCGTGGAATTGTCTATGGGACATGACTATTTCTCAAAACTGCATTCTACATTTCCGCCTTTCGGGAGCGATATCTCCGTTGTTTTAACTTTGTTTTCGCTGAGCTTCGGCTATGTTGTTGCTGAGACAATTACCTATCTCCAACGTGCACTTTATTTTTTCGATCATATGCCTGGATCATGCTCATATTTTACTTGCAAAGTGGGATTTGAGAATTCCATTTTCAGTTTACCAAAAAATCATCATCAATATCGTCATTATCGTATTGATGAATATTATCATTAGATCATCATCGGCACACTTTCATGATACAAAAATAGCTTACGTATCACCTAATTCGTCAAAGTGACGAATTAAAGTCTAGTATTTATTTTGTGTCTGTATAGAAGAAATTATTATTATTCTTCCTCAATTTTGTTCGCAGGATATCTCAAGAATGGCTAAAGCCATTATTATGAAACTTGCCATGATGATAGATCTTAGCCTAACTTAGAACTGCGTGACTTTTCAAAAACTCAAAGTCATCGTGACGTCATCCAGGCGCCATTTTGTGAAAATCAACTTATGATCATATCTTCATAACGTAAAAGTATTTCTCATTCTTAATTATCACGATTAAGATCAATATCCGTCCGGTCAATTTCAGGTCAATAAACGTGCGCAAATGCGCGCGTGCGCGTTCGTCCGCGCGTTTACGCGCGCGCAAAAATTAAAAATACTCTAAATCATCCCAAAATTTTTTGGCATACGTTTTAGGCCATATGGAGCATTTGACAAAAAAATATGCTCACGCGCATGCGCGCGCGTTTTTTTGCGCGTACTAGCATTTTGCAACATAAAATCGCCGAATTTTGTCTATCATCATATTTGGCACATTTTTCCAAGCATTTTGATAACTTGTTAACCTTTTAATAACGCAATGAGCGTCCGTCAAAGTTGAAAGCGCGCGCGGACCTGCGTTATCTTTATCCACAATACATGGGCAAAAACATGCCTATACAAAATTCTTTGTAACTCTTCAGAATAGACAGGAACTCCCAATATTTTTTCATATTTAGATAGAATATGAGTCTAAGATATGATTTTATGTCTCATTTGACCCTCAATTAACTCATGACGTCATCATAATGGCCTCCAAACTCAAAATTTCAATTTGCATATTATGACGTCAGCATATTCATGGAAAATTTAGTGTATTTCTCGTAATATTTATTGATTTTCTCTCAAATTTGGCTATGTTCTAGCTGTGACAATTTTCTACAAACATAGTTATCACAATTTTCCATTTTGACAAAGGCATCATGGCGTATTTTTTGCGATTAAGGAGGCATGTCTATTTTTCACATTTTGCATGTATTCTCTATGGGACATGACTTTTTCTTAAAACTCGATTCTACACTCCTGTCTTTCGCGAGCGAAATCTCTGTTGTTTTAGCTTAGTTTTCGCTGAGCTTCGAATATGTTGTAGCTGAGACCATAAGCTATCACAATTTTGCTTTTTATTTTTCGATTAGATACCGGGATCATGCTCATATTTCACTTGCAAAGTAGGATTTCTGAATTCCATTTCCCGTTTACGTGTAATCGCTATGGGAGATGTTTTGGTATATCGGTAACGCACTTGACTTCCAACCTCGAGATCCCTGGTTCGAGTCCGGGTGTCTCCAACAATTTTTTTTTTCACTTTTTTTCCTTTTGACCTTCACTGTACCATCTCCTTTGATTATTTAAACATGTAGAATCGCAAATAATTTCATAAATAACCCTTTTTACTTTATTATTACCCTATTTTCACTTAATCCATTACTTTTTGCGTGTAATCCCTATGGGAGATGACTTTTTCTCAAATCTGGAGCCTACATTCCTGTCTTTTGCGAGCAATATCGCCGTTATTTCTGCTTGGATTTTTTTTTTTTTTTTTAGTATGTTGTAGCTGAGACTATATGCTATCTAAATCAACCCTCATTTTTTCAATAAGATGTCATGATCGCGCTCATGATCATGATCATTATCATAATGATGATAATCATTTATCAATTACATTTTCATTTCTTTGAATGAGATAAAATCGTCAAAAGGTGTTCTTCATGATGTAAATTAGAGTCAAATGTGTAACTGGTTACTGCACAGGGTCAAAGGTCATATATTCTTTCAATCTATCTTCCCTAGATCCATGATGATCAAGGAGACACAATTTAATCTAGACATATGAATAGATCATAACGGGAGAAGCATATAAATGAGAGAAGCATTTTACAAAATAATATATCGTGTAATGCATTATTCGTTATGTAAACCATTATCATACGTATCACCTAATTCGTCTAAGTGACGAATTAAAGTCTAGTTTATTTTTATTATTCTTCCTCGAATTTGTTCGCAGGATATCTCAAGACTGAATAAAGCCATTATCATGAAACTTTCAATGATGATAGATCTCAGTCTAACTTAGAACTGTGTGACTTTTCAGACAGTCAAGGTCATCGTGACGTCATCCAGGCGCCATTTTGTGAAAATCAACTTATGATCATATCTTCATAAAGGAAAGCCATTTTTCATTCATATTTATCATGATTAAACTCAATATCCGTCCGGTCAATTTCAAGTCAATAAATGCGCGCAAAAATGCGCGTACGCTTATGTCCGCGCGTTTACGCGCGCGAAAAAAATTAAAATGCTCCAAATCATCCCAATTTTTTTTTACATCCGTTTCAGGCCATATGGAGCATTTGATAAAAAAATTACGCACACGCGCATGCGCGCGCATTTTCGCGCGTACTGGCATTTTGCAATATAGAATCGCCGAATTTTTTCTGTCATTATATTTGATACATTTTTCCAAGCATTTTGATAACTTGTTCACCTTTTAATAACGCAATGAGCGTCCGTCAAAGTTGACAGCACGCGCAGATCTGCGTTATCTTTATCCACCATACATTGACAAAAACATGCCTATACAAAATTCATTGTTACTGTTCAGAATGGATGGGAACTCCCAATATGTTTTCATATTTAGATAGATTATGAGTCGGAAATATGATTTCATGTCTCATTTTATCCTCAATTAACTCATGACGTCATCATAATGGCCTCCAAACTCAAAATTTCAATTTGCATATTATGACGTCAGCATATTTTTGGAAAATGGATTGTATCTCTGTAAATATTGATCAATTTTCTTTTTAATTTTGATATGTTCTAGCTGAGACAATTTTCTACAAATGTAGTATTCACAATTTTTATTTTTGACAAAAGTATCATGGTGTATTTTTGCGATTAAAGGAGGCATGTCAATTTTTCGCATTTTGCGTGTATTCTCTATGGGACATGACTTTTTCTCAAAACTGGATTCTACACTCCTGTCTTTCACGAGCAAAATCTCCGTTGTTTTAGCTTTGTTTTCACTGAGCTTCGGATATGTTGTAGCTGAGACAATGAGCAATCAAAAGTGTGCCTTTTATTTTTCGATTAGATGCCGGGATCATGCTAATATTTCACTTGCAAAGTAGGATTTCTGAATTCCATTTCCCGTTTACGTGTAATCGCTATGGGAGATGTTTTGGTATATCGGTAACGCACTTGACTTCCAACCTCGAGATCCCTGGTTCGAGTCCGGGTGTCTCCAACACTTTTTTTTTTTTCACTTTTTTTTCCTTTTGACCTTCACTGTACCATCTCCTTTGAATATTTAAACACGTAGATTCGCAAATAATGTCATAAATAACCCTTTTTACTTTATTATTACCATATTTTCACTTAATCCATTACTTTTTGCGTGTAATCCCTATGGGAGATGACTTTTTCTAAAATCTGGAGTCTACATTCCTGTCTTTTGCGAGCAATATCGCCGTTATTTCGGCTTGGATTTTGTTGATTTTTGAGTATGTTGTAGCTGAGACTATATGCTATCTAAATCAACCCTCATTTTTTCAATAAGATGTCATGATCGCGCTCATGATCATGATCATGATCATCATGATCATCATTATCATAATGATGATAATCATTTATCAATTACATTTTCATTTCTTTGAATAAGATAAAATCGTCAAAATGTGTTCTTCATGATGTAAATTAGAGTCAAATGTGTAACTGGTTACTGCACAGGGTCAAAGGTCATATATTGTTTCAATCTATCTTCCCTAGATCCATGATGATCAAGGAGACACAATTTAATCTTGACATATGAATAGATCATAATGGGAGAAGCATATGAATGGGAGAAGCATTTTACAAAATAATATATCGTGTAATGCATTATTCGTTATGTAAACCATTATCATACGTATCACCTAATTCGTCTAAGTGACGAATTAAAGTCTAGTTGGATTTGTTATGATATATGCATACAGGAGATGAGTGGCCATCGTGTTGTACAAAATATTTCCCGTCTAAATCATTGTCGAATTGTCTTCTCGTTCGGGTTAGCGTTCCGTACAGAAAGAACAGGGGCGACGTCCAATAGATCTGCTAAGTTTATGTCATACATCAGTGCATCATCACTATCGTGTCTTTCATTGTTTCGATTTCATTTTTCATTGCACCCTCCCTTCATTGTTTCATTTTCAAAATTGATACCATGAACAGACTTTGCTAATTTGATGCTACGCCTTACCACTGAGGAGGAGAAGGGGATAGAAAGATCCGAGGGCGAGTTGAATAGCTGTGGATTCCGAGTCACAGAAGGCCGAGATGAGCAGACCAAGAGCCATTCCACATAAACCTTGTAACATCATCATGAGTATGACGAGGAATAAACTACCTTCGTTCGGAATCTAAATGGAGTTCGAAATAGATGCATCATTATTTATCGAGCAGACAGAAACAAAGGTTCAGAAGAAAGAGGGAGAGAGGGAGAGAGGGAAAAAAAAGGGGGGGGGGGAGGGAACGAGATTAAGAAGAGGAAGTTTTTAATAGAGAGATGGGAGGAGGAAAAGATCATTATTGAAAGAGAGCTTCTCAACATGAGAGAGAGGGGGGGGGGGGGGGGGGGGGGGGTGAGAATACAACAAATACAACAAATTGAAGAAACATCCAAGAGGGATAATTAAGGAGGGGTTGTTGCTATTTGTCCCATCGATCTCATGCTGTTGAAGACCACTATAGGACCTAATTTAACCGCATGAAACCATTACGGACCATTATGGTAAAAGACCATTATAGATCTTACACGGTATAAGTTGATTACAAGTCTTATATGGTATAAGCTTCTTTCTCATTTACGCATTTGCCCATCCCCTATTCCATCTATACTTACATCGAAGACCGCGAATGTGCAGACGAGTACACACGGTATAAGTTGATTACAAGTCTGATATGGTATAAGCTTCTTTCTCATTTACGCATTTGCCCATTCCCTATACCATCTATACTCACATCGAAGACCGCGAATGTGAAGACGAGTACGAGGGCGATTTGGACCGAGATGATGATGAATTGAGTCATGACGTGAGCTATGCTTACTTCACCCGGTCCCACACCTGCAAAAAACAGAAGACAATCAAGGAAGTTCAACTGTATTGATAATAGGGACTTTTAGATTCCGCATAACGGAGAACGCGGACTGCCCTTTTAAGGCAATGTGACGTCACTGCCAGTGCCTTAAAAGGAAGTTACATTGCCTTAAAAGTTCGTCGTGCAGAATCTAAAAGTCCCTATTATACTTTAAAGTTAAACTTTCTCTCAAAAAGGACAGCTGAAAATCTCCCCTTTCCCCCACCTTTGGCCCAGTTAACTGAGAAAGCATGCCTGGTGGTGACGTCACTTTGTATTCACTTCGTGTAGGCAGGATACTTCGAAATTTCGAGAAAAGGTGGTAATTTTTGGGGATGTTTGAGAACATTTAAATGTTCGTGAATTAGACAAATATGGCTTTTGTTTTTGTTTTGCTCTGTTTTTAAAGAGGAAGAATTTCACGATTATTTTCAAGAGGAGCATGTGACTTGTTTAGCTTAAAGATAAACTTGAGTTCTGGTAAAATATAAAAAAATAAATTCTCACAGAATCCAACGAAACCGCACACTGAATGTTCAAGATTACAAATAAATGACATGTGCCAAACAATTTTGGTAGAAAATGTATAGTGGCTGAGTAATGAGCATAGAAAGATAAGGAAATCCGGGTAAGTATAGGCCCGAGACCATGGGCTTAAAGATAGAGTTGAGTTCTGGTATTGGTGTGTACTGCAAGTTTCTGGAATCATCAAAATGAAAAGAAATTTGACCCAGTCTTGGTAAAATTACAAGCACTGTACACAGAAAGATGTATATGGGAATAGTATACACAAACATCTAGCATAGAAATCCGTCCTGATTGTTATGCTGTTATAGTGCATGGCGGATCCACTGGGGGAAAAACGTGTAAAAACACGTTAATTTTACCTTTTTTGGAGATGCCCACCCCCCCCCCCCGCCCCCTTGACGCTCAAGGGGGGGGGGGAAGGGTGCGATTTTTCAAATTTCGAGGGCAAACAAAAAATTAGTGCTCACTAAGGCAAATTTCGCAAAAAATATTGTACTTTTTAATCGATTTGAACTCGATAACCCCAAACCAGTGTTATTGAATATTGCACATTTTGTAGCTTTTTAAGGCTACAGGGGTCATACTTTGTAATAAGTTATCTTGAAAGGTAACTAAGTTACACCTCTTTGAATGTAAATTGACACCATCGGGGAGGCATGATGTGCCCCCGTCTCCCCGCGGCTAGCACGCCAACGGTGAGAGATTTTACTCATTTGTGATGGAATGACTGAGGGAATGTTTTGTAAAAATAATAATAGGGACTTTTAGATTCTGCACGACGAGAACGTGGTCTGCCCTTTTAAGGCAATGTGACGTCACTGCAAGTGCCTTAAAAGGACGTCACGTTGCCTTGAAAGGGCAGTCCACGTTCTTGTAAAAATAATAATAGGGACTTTCAGATTCTGCATGACGAGAACGCGGACTGCCCTCTTAAGGCGATATGACGTCACTGTCAGTGCCTTAAAAGGGCAGTCCACGTTCTCGTCGTGTAAATCTAAAAGACCCTAATGACTAACCTGCGACCCAGATCCTGTCCAGTAGACCTTCTTTCCTCTCCACGACAAAGGTCATTGAGGTCAAAGCCACCGCGTGGAAGAATATGACCCTGCATGAAAAGATTTGTTTTAAAGACCATCAATACTACTGGGCCAGAAGGGATTAGACCACACAGCGAAGTCACTGACAGGTGGCTATCTCATTAACTCAGCTCTCAACTAACATAAGAACAGATTTGTTTTAAACCATCTTCATAGTTTATCGTTTGTTTCATTTTCTTTCATAAACATATGAAGCATAAATGTTGTAAGTTCAATGTCATTGACACGATCACAAAGACTTCCAAGAAATCAACTTAAGGGCTATTTCAATATTAGTTATTCCTATATAATTTTTGTTTGGATTAGTGTAATATATCATTGTCATAGTCGCACATTTCAAAAGGTGGCGCACAAAGTTATTTGAAATTGCCTTACTATAATGTGAATTTAAAAAAAAAAAAAATTTGCGATCGTATTTGGAATATATTACATCAACAAGGGAGATGTAGGCTTATCAAGTGAAATAGTTGAATTTAATTGAATTGAAAGCCTCTTTGTTGTAACTACAATGCAGCTCAACAGCTGTACTATACATGGCAATGCAAACAAGTACAAGGTAGTGTACAATACAATTTAATATACATTCATTTTGAGACAGTTAAAAGCATGTCATAGACACTGTGTAGCCAAATAAGCATTGAGATGCACATAAACACACACACTCACACACAAATCAATGAGAAAGAGGGAGATAACATTCATGGAGGGGGAGAGAGAGAGAGAGAGAAATAATGTGAGTGAGAAATAGAAAGAAAGAAAGAGAAAGGCAAAACGAGGAACGAGAAAGCGAGCGAGACACAGAGAGAGAGATACAGAGCGAGAGATACAGAGAGAGAGAGAGAGATACAGAGAGAGAGAGAGAGAGAGAATGTGATAGAGAAAATAGACAGCGAGAGGATGAGACAGGGTGAGAGAGAGATAAGTTGTCTCAAATACTTCCTCTCCATCATCATCTAAGTAAACCCACTCTTTGAAGCTTACGTTAAAATAACACCGGCAGCCATGAAATTGGTGAAAGGTGCATCGACCTCGCCGTAGATTGGTTCTTGGAACTGAACAGAGAACATAATATTATATGAAAATGAAAATAGTTGAAATGCTAGATGGGTTATGGGTAGGTTGAGTAAATTTGTCACAAAATATAGCATACTAAGAAGTTTCAAATATGATGGTTGATCAAAGTGTTTGAAATTGACGGTTTGGTTTCTCAAAATCTTTGAACGCAAGTTAGTGTCGGTCGTTATCAAGTTCAAGTTAAACTTTATTGATCATGCACAATTACATGGCTTAAAAATAATTTTCCGGCTGTTTCTCAATTAATGTAACATCAATTAACATACTTGTATTATCAATTCATACCAAATACAAAATCAGGACTAAATACAACACACAATAGAACATGACTACAAAATGGAGAGGACGGAATAAAACTTCTAAAACCACTTGTACTACATGCATTCTGTGCCAAGAATATTTATTTGAAGTTATGACTTGATTTATTCCAATCTAATTCCCCTAATAAGTAATATAACATCATTTAATATAGCAAATACTTGAAACAGAATTTGACGAAAAGATTAGTGATACTAAATGATTGATATCATACTTTGAAAAGGACGTGATTTATTCAAAGTCACTTAATTATTATATGTAATTTCTTATATATAATAATTCCGTAGTACATGTACATTAAATGCGTGAAATAGAATTTGACCAACATTACAGATGTTAAATATATAGTATTTTACTTTTTCCTAAAGGACCTGACAACAAATTACAAATGTTCAATGAAAAATATTGCACTTTTGAAAAACTACTTACAGCGATAGGAATCTGTGCAACAGCTGGGTTCACTCCTAGACTAGTCAAGACGACATCGACAAAAGACTAAAGAAAGAAAAACAAAGTTCGAATTATTTACATCTATTGTTTATTATTATTTTTTTGTTGGTGTGTTGGTTTCCGGTTGTTGTAATTGTTATTGTTATTATTATCAATGTTGTTCAAAAAATATTATCATTCTTATTATTATTATCATCATCATCATCATCAATATTTTCTTGTTATCTATTTATTTTAATCAGTTTCAATATCAGCATCATCATTATCAATATTATACAACGCAAAAGAAAACATACTGATACGGATTGATAACCCTGCTCAGCTGTGTCAGTACACAGCACAAGGAAAAACTTTAAAACCAGCAAGAAACAGAAACATCATACTACATACAAACTAAAACTTAACAGTGGCGGATCCAGGGGGGGCCGAAACGGCCGCGGCCCCCCCTATTGGCGGCGCGAAAAAAAAGAGAAAAAAAAGAAAGGAGAAGAGAAGAAAAAAAGGAGAAGAGAAAAGAAAGGAGAAGAGAAAAGAAAAGAGAAGAGAAAAGAAAGAAGACCCACTTCGGGGTCGGAGGGACCGATTTTGTGTTCCCAAAATTTCCGATGAAGGGTTACTTTTCACGCAACAAAGTCCGGCCGTAATACACACAAATCCGGCCCGCACTGACTCTACACACCGAAGATAAAGGGGTGCTTTCAAACTAAGAGAGGGAACATACATGCGCATAACCTAGATAACACTGAGTGGGTTGGGGGGGGGGGGTGGGAAGGGGAAGAGAAAAGTCGGGTGAGAAAGGGGGAGAGACAAGGAAATGGCGCTAAGTGATAACGACGAATAAGGGAAAAACTGTAATCGGGAGATTGTGGGTCATTCCAGAAGGCTTGGGGAAACATTATTGAATAGAGGGGGCCGGGCCGGCCGCATAAAATCTCGAGCCACGGATTCAAAGTTAAACGTTACAAACAGCCCCTGCTTTTTGAAAAAAATTGAATAGGGCACAATGTTTTGGATGTCTTTCAAATAGAAGCTATATACTTCATAGTCAAATTTTAAATGAACGGTAGGGCCGCTTCATAATTCTTATTTTGCCCTTCATTTGGATTCAGCTCATACCAACTCGCTTGTGCTTATATTTGAACTCATGCATGTAGGTGGTGATAATGGACAGCGGCGGCGATCCTGGGCCCGATAGAGAGACACGTCCCCCCGGAAATTTAGATATATAGCTAGAAAGAAATATACATGTAACGGAAAGAACGTACATATCGGACTAAAGGATTTTCTAGAATGCATAATTTCAGCATTCTACATTGCAAAATCTCGCTTGGTCGCTCCGCTCCGGCCTTCACCCGATAACACAAAACTAAGATATATGACGCTCCCGGTCGCGATTATTTCATGGTTGGTGTATACATAGATCTTTTTTTCCCTTTCATTTCTACTGACCGAATTGTATGCTATCACAATCATGATTGTTTCATTTTCCCTTTAAAGCATGCGTAGCTAGGGGCGGTAGGGGCAGTAAGAGGACATACGACGAAAAAAGGAGCAGACAAAGAAACATTTTTGACAAGTCTAAAACGGGACAACAAATCATCTTCATATTTAATGAATAAATTTAATGAATAATTTAATGAAACGTTAAGCTTCTGCGCTTTGCGCTGGAGGGGAAAACTGAATTCAGAGAAGGATTAAGAGTCGGGAATGGAACAAAGAATTATCTTCTTTCTCTAATAATTTCATTAAACTATGTATGAGTCAGAGCTTCCGCGCCTCGCGCGGAAGGTGGAAAATGAATTCAAACAAGGATTAAGAATCGAGAATGAGACAAAGAATCATCTTCTTTCTCTCATAATTTAATGAAGCGTGAGAAGCTTACGCGCTACGCGCGGGAGGAGGAAAACTGAATTCAGACAAGGATTTAGAGTCGAGAATGAAACAACGAATCATCTTCTTTCTCTAATAATTCAATGAAACGTCAAAGCTTCCGCGCTTCGCGCGGGAGAGGGGGGGGGGGGAATTCAATTCAGACAAGGATTAAGAGTCGAGAACGGTACTCTTTCTCTAATGATTTAATGAAACGTCAAAGCTTCCGCGCTTCGCTCGGGAGGGGGTATGGAAACTGAATTCAGACAATGATTAAGAATCGAGAATGGTACAACAAATCATCTTCTTTCTCTAATAATTCAATGAAACGTCAAAGCTTCCGCGCTTTGCGCGGAGGGGGGAAACTGAATTCAGACAATGATTAAGGACCAAGAACGGAACAACGAATCGTCTTCTTTCTCTAATAATTTAATGAAACGTCAAAGCTTCTGCGCTTCGCGCGAGAGAGAGAGAGGGTGGGAACTCAATTCAGACAAGGATTAAGAGTCGAGAACGGTACTCTTTCTCTAATGATTTAATGAAACGTCAAAGCTTCCGCGCTTCGCACGGGAGGGGGTATGGAAACTGAATTCAGACAATAATTAAGAATCGAGAACGGTACAACGAATCGTCTTCTTTCTCTAATAATTTAATGAAACGTTAAGCTTTTGCGCTTCACGCGGGAGAGGGGGGAACTTAATTCAGACAAGGATTAAGAGTCGAGAACGGTACTCTTTCTCTAATGATTTAATGAAACGTCAAAGCTTCCGCGCTTCGCGCGGGAGGGGGTATGGAAACTTAATTCAGACAATGATTAACAACCGAGAACGGTACAACGAATCGTTTTCTTTCTCTAATAATTTAATGAAACGTCAAAGCTTCCGCGCTTCGCGCGGGAGGGGGTATGGAAACTGAATTCAGACAATGATTAACAACCGAGAACGGTACAACGAATCCTCTTCTTTCTCTAATAATTTCATGAACATTAAAGCTTCTGCGCTTCGCGCGTAATGGGGGGGGGGGGGGGGAGTGGACAGCGAGCTGCCCGAATATGAATTTGTTATATCTTTTCTCGTGTATTTTGGTGATAAATAACACTTTCACAAAATAAATATTATCCTCGAATTGTGAAACCAGAAAATTACTTTTTCGGGCAAGAGGCTTCACCCCCCCCCCCCCCCCCGATGAAAATGTCAAAAAAAAATTACCGGTATGGTGCTTCTAATATGACCTTGTCAGTATTGGTATGTTGAGTTGAAAAAATGTCTGCGCAATTTTCAAATTTCCGCCCCCCCCCCCCCCCCCTATTGGAAAATCCTGGATCCGCGCCTGCTTAAGAGATGTTGCTGTAATTCACCAAATATTTAAATCAACAAACCTTGCCTACTAATCTCATCAGTGTTAAGATATAATTCTGAAGTATGTGTGTTTTTAATTATTTCGTTTATTTACCTTTATGCATTCATTATGATGTTATGAAGACTTTCTTGCTATTTTTCATTATCAGGAACATCATCAATTTTCAAGTTAAATAACACGTCTACTTAAAAAGAAATTATCACTTAATCCGTCTAGCTAGTTCTAATTCCATCAAATGTTAATATAGAAAATTCAAATGTATGATCACTTTTTTGTTGCTGTTAGATCGAAAGTCATGATATTTCACTTGCGGTCAAAGTTTCATATATATGCGTTCAAAATAGATAGAGACTTGTATTCCTCTTTACTCCGCAATTCCCATTACACTCAATTTTACCGAAGGATCATTTAAACCTCTGTTTATTCATTAAATGAACTCAAACAACACTTGCGCTTTAGATCATTTTAGTGCATTCCGTTATATAAATCTATGTAAAAAGGTTTTTTCAAAGTGACCTACCTCATACGCAGCTAATAAAGCAGTTTGGATAGACACTGCAATCTGCTGATCTAAGAAGGGTGGGATTTAGAGAAAAAGAAAGATTTGGAAGAATAATCATACTATAATTATAAGAAATGGAAGAGTAATGAGAACTAAAGTTGATATTTAAGAGTTTGAATTATGAAAAGGCGTTAAAAGCTAAAGTAGCTGAATTTAATCAAGTGTTGCAAGAATTGATGACATGTATACAATATCTTTTAACCACAATCTAGTTTTTATCTATGTTAGACTTACGACAGAAATTTATTTTACTTTCATAAAAAGACATATTAAGCATTTTAACAAATATAATAAGTGTAACTATTATGGGGCTACCGCTTCCAAAAGGTAGCACATAACCGTAATTGGTTTTGAAAGTATTGACAGATGGAGTTTTACAAGGTTCTATTTTATTCCCTTTTATGCACTGTTATGCCCATAAAGTTGGAATTATTTTTTCGTTACTTCTTCTCATCAAATGACTGTGGCAATGTAATTTATTATTGATAGATAAAGTTTAAATCTTCTCTGAACTTTTAGCAGATGTTTCTACATTCATTAAAAAAAGTACAAAATATTCAAACAACAATAGTATATATAATATAATTGATTTACATAAAATGTGACAACTGGAATACACACGGAAAATATGTAGATATAATTAAAAACTTGAAGTATGGAGGTAAATCAAGGAATACAAATAAATGCAGAGGCCAACTATTAGAAGCTTGAATACTTGAATTGATAGCAACAACTTTAATGATCAATCTAAAGAGCTATGGATGTTATTCAATTAAGCTCTGAGAAGATCTCCATAGGCAACAGACTATTCACTGAAATGTAAAATTATACTACTTGCTCTAGCTGAATTTGTTCGTCTGTTAAATGTGTACAATGTCATGACAAAGCAATTATTCTTTCTCGTCTCTTCTCTCATGTCTCACTATGAATATGACGGACAAAGAAAGAGGACAAAATATACAGTTCCTCAGGTAGACAAAGGAAAATCCCTCCCCTGCTATTATGTAAAAATGTGTAGAACAGGTGGCACATGCATATTCACCTGTTCTACACATTTTTACATAATAGCGGTGAAGGGATGTTCTTTTGTCTACCACAGCAATTGTTGAGGGTAGAATGAGCAACTGTATATTTGGTCCTCTTTCTTTGTCCGTCATATTAATAGTGTCTGCTATTATCCCTTCTTTTCTTTTTTCTAAGCGCATAGTGACTTAAATTTATTTTTGTCATATGCGCTATATAAGAATGGTTTATTAATATTATTGTATTTTATTTATTTCGGTTAAAAAAGACATATAAATATACACGATTCAAAGGTCCAAGGACCAAAACTGATCATGTTTACAAATAATACAATACAGTTATGAATACAGTAAATATACAATAGTGAGCCAAACAAACAGGTATGACAAGTACAAGAAGGTAATACAAATGAACAAAATCATACATTTCCATCAATACAATACCAAAATAAACTAAAAGAAAGTAGTGGTCAAGATCGTCAAATTACTAAACTGATATATGGTAATGGTAGCAGATAAACGGACAATAGGGACTTTTAGATTTGCGTGGACTGATGCGTGTGACGTCCATTCAAGGCAGTGCATTACAAGTACGTCGATCGTAGCAATCCACGTTGTCGTTCGACAATTCTAAAAGTCCCTAATAATAATGTTGAGTAACCAAACAATTGTTTAGGACTTACTCGTGGCATCCATCGTGACTCTGATCGTACTGCCATACAGTGTCACATTGTCAACGGCATTACCCTGGACTACACTGAAAATGAAAGGTAGAGACAGAAATAAGTATATGTCCATTTAGAAACTACAATAATTAGGCGTTGTGGCGTGCGCCTGTAATCCAGCTAAAAGTGGAAGTTACAAACTGATTCAGCCGAGAACGCAGGTTCAAAACTGAGTCACGTCTTTCGGATTCGGATGGTGACGTTTAAAGGTCGGTCCCCAGACTTAAATAATCATATCTGATTGATACACGTCTGCAAAAACCCAATACACATACACACACACACTAAATCGGGTAACAACGGTTGGTGTTGCAACAACAAAAAAAAACATATATCTGCATTTTATAACTTCAGAAAGTGATGCGTTTTTCAAGATTTTTTCCATCTCAGACTAAAACGGAGTTCGCTCCATAAATTACTTTATTTTATACGATGTCCTGGCGAGCATAAGATGCTCTGAATCAAAGTGATATACATTTATAAACATATATTGTAGAAAATGGACTTCATCAGTATACCAGTTTACTAACATTTTAAAATCTTATGCATAATTTTTAAACAAAGGTTGTTCTTGACAGCCTCAAAGCTTTCCCGAGGCTTGCCTGACAGAGCAACAAGTAATTTTTGCAGATTGGATTTCAGGTATTGTACTTCATTTATTAACTACATGTTTAAAAAATAACTCGTCACATATGGTTCCCAGGGAATAAACATCCATACCTTTGACTACGTTAGTAAACCGGTCTTATAGTCTTAAAATTGACAGAAAAAGGCAATGGAACAATTTTCTCGATTGACAGTATGCATTTTTGCTTATGAAGAAAGTAGCTGTTCTACACCGCCCCCTAACAAAAAATCTTAATTACAAATAAATCTAAGCGCGGCACATGTAGAGAATGAGTGCAAAAATCGCTCCTCCCCCCCCCCCCCCACACAAACAAAATATTGCTCTATAACCGTACCTGTATTTGAATAAATTATTAACGTGTTACAAATAAAAGGAATGTAAGAAAGATGTAAGCTAATCATACCGTTGGATGAGGTAGTGAGAATAGTTGGCTGGTATCTCGATGATGCCCCAGTATTTTCCACTCTGGCGTATATCCGCAAAGGCTTCCTCGTATGTATCGACAGGTTTCTGTATTCAAGATTCAAAATGACAGAATATTGAAATTCAAATTAATTTCCAGAATAATAAATCATAATTTTACCCAGGGTAGCTACGTCAGTATTATTCCTGCTTTTTCTGCCGGACCAGGGGGTGTTTCACAAAGACTAAGATCTACTTTAAGTTGGACTTAACTATGGCAGGCTGTTCATGCCACAAGTTCCTCTAACAATTCCTGACACTGGTTTCTGAAGGGACGTACAAATCGTTGTTACAAATCTACAGAATTTACCCTTTTTGATAGTTCATTATTGAAGGAGAAAATACTATCTAAAGATCAAAATGGTGAGAGACCAATGGTGAGAGCAACCAGTTGCACGAAGGCCTGCCATAGTCAAGTCCAACTTAAGGTCATTTTTAGTCTTTGTGAAACACTCCCCTAGATTTCTTATTACCCCAATAACTACCAGGTACCCATTTTACATCTGGATCTTGGCACGTAGATAGACGTTAACGCCGGGGTGGGATTCGAATCCCTACCTTTCATGAACGAACCGCTATACCACACACAGTCACCTCCACTCTGAATGTCCAAACTGTCACAGTTGCCACCTGTCTAGTTAGGCCTCCTGCTCTATTAAAGGGACTATGTCCCATTTGCAGGCCAAAAAAATGAAAAAGTTAAATTCCAACTGCATTTGAAAGATAATACTAAGTTAGAACTTCCCTAAAAAAGGTGGGGCTTGAAAATGTCTTTAAGTGGGAAAATAACGACTATTAGTTGTCAAATCGACTTTAGGGCTATAGAGCCCAAAAGTAATAGTCTTGATTTTCAGACAATTGTACCAAATGGTCATACGTTTTATGCTGCACAAAGATTTAATCAGTTTAATCTTGGCCATCACAAGAAGTGGGTTATTGATGTAGACAAATGCTCATGTACCCTTTACAACTCTTTTCATGTAATGTTATTACCAAAGAAGAAAAAAGCCAGTCAGTCACTCAATAGTGTCTGACAGTGAAGTCTAGCAAGTAAACGGTTTTCCTTGCATAATTTGAATATGAGGACACTGCTAACGTTTAAATTTCACAGATAGGACATACATGACATATTCATAATTCCTACAAAGTTCTACAGCGTTTGAGGTTGGCTGCAAAAGGGACATAGTACCTTTAATAGCGGGCACCTATATTGTCTCAGTATTTATAACGCCCTAGCTACACTGGGCAAATAATACCAAATTATATTATTGTTAACGGCCAACTGGAGGTTTCAGATTCTGCTGAATTAGAACATTGACAATATATATGAGGTTATTGTTTGCATTTTAAATCATCAAATATATGAGTTCAAATAAAGAGATAATTCAAAATGTATAATTATGCGCGATACCAATAGAACGTTATTACATATGTATTATAATTGTTATCATTAGTACTACTCTACTATACTGGTACTACTACTACTCCTACTACTACTACTACTTATACTACTACTACTACTACTACTACTACTACTACTACTACTACTACTATTACTACTTCTAATACTGCTACTATTACTACTACTACTACTACTACTACTACTACTACTACTACTATTACTTCATTATTATTATTATCATTATTATTCATATACTTATCATCATCATCTTTTATTATAGACATCAATTATCATAATTATTGTAATTATTTTCATCATCATTAATATTAATATTATGATTAATATTTTATCAATATCTCAGCTTGAACTATGCTGGTTTTGTCTCATTAGCATACTGAGGACAAGCTTCAACCCGTAGCCTTAGGGTTATCATTATTATCATTATTATTAGTATTATTATTAGTAGTAGTAGTAGTAGTAGTATCATTATTAGTATTATTATTATATTGGCTGAAATGCTCCCCAGGTAGTGGAGATTGTGCACACAGTATTGAATCCAATGACCGGGGTAATAGTACATCTGTAAAGCGCTTAGAGACATCATTGATGTATTAAGCGCTATATAAAAGCGGAATTGTTATTACTATTACCATTACTAATATTATCATCATTATTATTATCTTTATTATCATTACAGACAATGGAATGAGCATCACCTGGGAGATCATTGAATCGTCTATCTGGTTAAGGTAGATGTCACTCAGATTGAATGCGGCGTAGGCATCGTTATTGACCACAGCTACAGCAAGGTTCCTAGGCGGGCCACCGATGGCGAGAAAGAACAGGGATACCTCAACCACGGGCAGGAGGAATTGGAAGAGCGTCAGACTGGAGAAGAAAAGAGATGGACAATAATCGCGATGACGATAACCAAAGAGGGGGGGGGGGCATAATTTATAAGAATGACTTTCGAAAAACAAATAAAATGAAGATTATTTTTTCCTTCTTCTTCTTCTTCTTCATCTTCTACTCTTCTTCTTCATTATTTTCTTCTTTTTTCTTCTCCTTCTTCATTTTCTTCTTCTTTTGTTTTCTTCTTCTTCTACTTTCTTTTGCTTCTCCTCTTCTTCTCCTTCTTCTCCTGCTTCTTCTTCTTCTTCTTTTCCTCCTCTTCTTCTAATTCTTAAACTTCTCATGCTTCTTTTTCTTCTACTTCTTCTCCTTCTTCTTCTTCTTCTTCTTCTTCTTCTTCTTCTTCTTCTTCTTCTTCTTCTTCTTCTTCTCCATTTCATTAACCTTGCCGATCACCTATTGGAATGGCTGAACATTACATTGAAGCATTTTGTAGTCCAAACATGATTTAGATAGGATGTACAATAGGATATTGACGTTGCTCTTTAGTTTATTAGGACTTGCGATCGCGTTATATATGAAAGTATATTTGGTGCTTGAATAGCGCTCATATCTTTCAGGGTCACATTTGACCCAATTTGGGGTTCAAGTGTACCCCAACAAATATGCAGGCTCCCCTTTTACCGCATATTCGGTAAATTTTTCCCCAACCTCTTTTTATAAGTATAATAATTTATTGTCCTTTGCAGGAAATTTGATTTCCACTGGTTACAGAGTGTTACAATACAAATATATAAATTAAATATTACAGGACAGTGATAAACATACAATGAAGGAGATAATATATGAGTAAGCCACGGTATATAATTATGGTGGTTAAAGAGGTAATATCAGATTCCATTTTACAAAATATAAAGCTAAATTATTTAATATCAATGATTGTTCCATATTAAATCTTTAAATGATAATGAATACATAAATTACTATTTGTATTATTTTTATTATTATTATTATAATTATTATTATTTTTATCGATTACCGTTTTCAGTAGTATAATTTTTACCGGCATCGTTATTATTGTTTAGTTTATTGATGACACATAGATTGTAAAGTAACTGGCTAAATCAGTAATTGATAGTTGGATGCAATATTCATGACATATTATGTTTGAAACTTATGTTATACTACATTTATATTGATACATTGACATGGTAGGTTCATAGTAATTAAACACGTTTTGCTTTGGAATTGAAAAGATGAAAAGATGAAAAGATGCACAGGAATGGAATTTATGGGAACGGAATTATTTACCCTGGGTTTCTAATTAGCTTGAGTAGATCCTTGATAAGTAGGGCCCACATGTTGAGTAGACTTGGAAAGATATCCGTGCATTTCAACGGCGGCATTTCTGGAATAAATATCATTGTCACAGTAATACGTTTTATTCGAAATCTGTAAAACACATTTCTTTCCAATGTATATTGTGATAATATCAAACTGGGAAAATAACATAAACAAATGATCCTTATCATGGAAGAGATACAGAGCTTCAAATATCTTAACACAATCAGTAAAAAGGAAAAGGGTGTAATGGCATTATGTATTTCGTTTGCTGAGTGCATTAAGGGTGTTAACTAACAAACTTTAACACAGAACGCCCTCCTGTCTAACAGGAGACGATTTTATCGATTGTGTTCATGTAATAAATAACATAATTATTGTTGCTACCCAAAGCCAATCATCTAGATATATGTTCAATTTTTTTTATCCCGACATGTTCAATAATAACAATAATAATGTTGGATATGTATATAGCGCACATATCCACCATGCATGGTGCTCAAGGCGCTCCAACCTTTACCCCGGCTCTGCTAGGCAGCCGATTTCGGCGCTCACAGCATTCAAGGAATTCCTTCCTACCGGTACCCGTTTAACACCTGGGTGGAGAGTGGCAAATGTAGATTAATAACACCGCACCTGGGGTAAAATTTTAAAGGGGAAGTACACCCTGATATTAAACTTGGTTTCAATAAAAACAGAAAAATTAGAGAAACAAATTAGTGAAAGTTTGAGCAATTTCCGATCCTGAAAAAAGAAGAAATAGCCTTGTCCCTCACCTTAAGAAATGTGTGAACATGAAAATGACTTAATACGCAATCCGAACATAGTTTCTATGGGACATACAGTTGGCTTCTATCAAAAATGCCCTAGTCAATTAATTGATTTTTTCGAAGTCTGAGACTACATTAACTATATTCATAATTGGGTTTATCTATGATTACACAATCAGAAAGGTAAGATTTTCTTTCCTATTTATGATTGTAAAAGAATCTGTAACTCGACCCTCTGGCCGAGAATGTGTTCTTATCGATAAACCTTTTCAAACAAATATATAAATGTGTATTATAATAAGTAGAAGTTGTAGAGCAACAACAAAAATCATCCTTTCAAGGAGATAGAAATGCAGTTGTATTAAGAAAGCGAATTTCATGCTAACCGTAGTGATAGTCTGGAGTTTCAGTTTTTGTTGTCATGGTGGACATTGAGCGAGCCACGCCCCCATTAGCCCTGCGTTGGGAGATCTCTTCATACACGTCATCATTGGCGTGTTGATTCGCATCACCATTTGGCGGGGCGCTTGCTATGGCGGGTACGTCATCGTAAACCTGATTGGTGTATTGAGTCACGTGACTGCTTGACTCTGAAATTAGGCGTGTCCTTTCGTTGACTTCTGAGATGCTGGCTGCTCGCACACTGGTTGGTATGTCGTCCTGGGATTCAATCAAACAATAATGAAAACAAGAATGATATATTGTTGCTTTTACTCTGTTAATTTTTCAGAAATAACAATACAAACTTCTTCTTTTTTAAAGAAAACAAGACTTATTTTCGGGAGAGTAATAAATTTCTTCTCTTGTCAGTGATAAGTATGATTGACGATGATGACGACAGATTTATGGTGATATCTAGAAAGCTAGCATTTCTTGTTCTTGTTCTAGTTCTTGTTCTTGTTCTTGTTCTTGTTCTTCTTGTTGTTCTTGTTGTTCTTGTTGTTCTTCTTTTCTTTTCTTCTTCTTTTCTTTTTCTTCTTTTCTTCTTCTTTTTCTTTGTTTTTCTTCTTCTACTCCTCCTCTTCTACTTCCTTTCCTCGTCCTTCATTCTTCCTCCTCTTCCTCTTCTTTTTCACCAACTCCTCCTCCTCCTTCTTCTTCTTCTTCTTCTTCTTCTTCTTCTTCTTCCTCCTCTTCTAGGCTTTTTTTTCTTTTTCTTCTTCTTTTCTTCTTCTTTTTCTTTGTTTTTCTTCTTCTACTCCTCCACTTCTCCTTCCTTTCCTCGTTCTTCATTCATCCTCCTCTTCCTCTTCTTTTTCGCCAACTCCTCCTTCTTCTTCTTCTTCTTCTTGTGACACAACAGTGCCACTTTTCTTTAAGATATCAATTTTCAATGTTTTTCATAAATATGTATACTTTATTAATACATGAATGTTAAAGAATGATAAATATTGAACTGGCGTGTGATTTAACTTCTAAGGTATGTATCCCTTGGTCGAAGATCGCGTTTGACAGGAATACTTAGACTACAGACTAACGTCCCTTTCGTTAAACCCTAGCATCGAATTTAAAGTTTAGTAGGATGAAACCTACAAAAAAGTGCTTACAATTATAGCTTTATATTTTTATCATTGCTATCATCATTATTATTATTATCAATAGTATTATTATCATTATCATTATTATTCTTATTATTATGAATACAATGTCATTAATACAGCTATCGCAGCAGTTAAACTTGTGTCAGCGTTTCATAATAAGACATACAATAAAATAGACCTAGTTATCCCACAAGAAGTTAGGAAATCATCATCGTAAAGTACTTTTAAATCTAAAGATAAGGCACATATTTTCATTTTCACTTCATGTTGTAGATGATAATCACGCCGGGATGTTTTGCAGAGCAACACAATACATTTGCGTAATGTCCGCACTTTATAAATGTATACCATTATGATTACTATCATTTTATTAACATATTTTAATCTTACTTCATCATCATCCCCTTCTATATCGGCCATGCAGAGCTTCAAGAATACCTCCTCCAATGTCTAAAACAAAAACAAAACTTTGTTTAATTATGAACTTATGCATGAAAGAAAGAAATGGGTACAGATATTGAGAGAAATGATACAAAATAAAGAAATATGTTGATGATAAAGGAAAGTATTTTTAATTAGAAAACAAACTCCCAAGAGTGGGCTGCACGTATAAATTAAAAGAAAAATCATATTCAGATCGTGCAGTCGATCCTAATACTACTATTCATTATACAATATTGTGTTCTTGTATAGCGCTCATATCTGTCAGACTTGATCGACACTCCTGGCGCTCCTGATTAATGCCCTGGCTTTAGCATGGCCGCCATTACGGTGCTCTAGCATTTCAAGGAAATAATTCCAGCCAGTTAACCCATTTAAATCGCCTGGGCTGCCAAACGACATTAGTGCCGCGGTGGGACTTGAACCGTGGACCTTGTGATCCCCTGTCCTGTGACGTATCCAATCGACCACGGCACCTCTTAATACTTAATACATGCTGGAATTGTTACCGGAAAATTGTACGTCCTTATCAGGACTTGGGGGTCTTCCTCAGCCAGAAGTTTCCCGTTCCTCATCAGACCAACCTGCGGTAGGAAATAAAGATTGAAAGGTTACGTTTGCATTGTGTTTTTTTAATTTTCATTTCTGTCATATAAAAGAATATGCAATCAAAAGGAGAATAACAACATTTATTTCCATATACACAATACATTTCTTCTTCTTTCACTTAGGTGGCGCTAGCTGCGCTGCTGTGGCCATCACAAGTTTATGCAATCCTTCTCTATCTGATGTTGCCTCTGACAGCTTTTGCCCTGTTCAAACGTGAATGTCTCTCAACCAAAAAATAGCAGGTCTGCCCTAAATATACGTTTAACATAAGCAAAAAATAAATCACATGGCATTAAATTGAATAACAACAAAATGTAGAACGGGATAAAACACTGAAAAACAGACGACATGGGAGCCCATTTGCAGCTGCAATAAGCGAGTTCGTAATCAGGATTTGCGCATGTGCAGATAAAGGTCATTCGTTCCCAAATTGTAAAACCATTAGGACGAATACTCGTATCTTGCACATGAAAGTTATGTAATTAGTATTCATTTATGTACCGACAGTACATTTATCTGATCCACAGGTGGAAGTATTCTTCTCAAGAGGGCAAACAAAAGGTATGCATGAAGCACCCCCATCACTTCGACAGTGATTATTCTAAAATGCACAAGTGGGACGTATCCATAGTGTAAAAGATCTGTGGGTATTTGGGGGTCATAGTCAGCTGGATTTTCATGGGACCAGAAGAAAAATGAGGAAGAAAGAGTAGTAGAAAAAGAAATGAAGAAGAAGAAGAAGATAATCTAATTTTCTCATTCAGTGTCATAACTTTTCATTTTTCTTGCTTTTTCTCCTCCGATATTGCAATGCGCAGTTGAATATATCCGTATATAGAAAATGAACGATATAAACTGACAGCTATAATCATTACCATTTATATAAGTTAGAGATAACATATGGGCCAGAAGGGATTAGACCACACAGCGAGGTCACTGACAGGTGGCTATCTCATCAACTCAGCTTTCAACTAACATAAGAAAAAGAAGATCACGGGGCACCAACAGGCACCGATTGGGGAAGTTTTCTATATAGAGGGACCAAGTACCTACAGTGGGGCTTTAAAAGATTGATTAAATTTTGTTCATACCACGTCAGCATTTCTGGCTTCCTCGATGTAATGTGTTGTAAGGATGATGGTTGTTTTTCCTGTCTGTGCAAACTGTAGGAGATAGTCCCAGATCCTGCAATCAACAACCATCATTCAGTGAGGTTTTATTTGCTATATATGACTTATTATATGAATCTTCAGGAGAAAACAAAGCGCCGATTAATATTTGTATTATAATTATTCTTCTCATTATGGGTATTATCATTATTATTATTATTCTCATTATTATTATCATCATCATCATCATCATCATCATCATCATCAATATTATAATATCAGCTTTAGTCGAGCTATCATGATGAGACACGGTTAGGAACACTCAAGTGTTTTCCCTTGTATACGTATCAAAGCCGTAGGTTCCCTTGTCTAGTGTTCCGTTAAATCTGCAACTCGTTTGCCCCTTTTCTGAGAAACGCATGGAAACCCTCAAAAGTGAATTATGGGGCGTTGCAAGAAAGTTGCAATCAATTGCAAATCCCCAAAACCAAGCGTAAGTCTTGCGATTAATTGCAAATTTGCAATTGAACGAAACTCAACTTTCTTGCAACGCCCTATTATTAAGATAGAGAGAAGAGAGAGAGAGAGAGAGAGAGAGAGGGGGGGGGGGGATAAAAGCTAGACCAAGTTAACTTAATACAATTATTAAAACTTTAATCCTAACAAAATCCTAAAGAGTTTACGAGACTAATGAGGCGTTGCAAGAAAGTTGAGTTGCAATCGTTTGCAAATAATGGGTTGCAAATTTTGCAACTTGCAATCAATCCCAACTTTCTTGCAACGCCCCATAAGTCTACTTACTTCTGTCGAAGGAGTGGATCAACGCCCACGGTTGGCTCATCTAAAATGAGAAGTTCAGGCGACTGAACCAAGGCTACTGCAAATGACACCCTTCTCTTCTGGCCCCCACTAAAAATAAAATAATCACAAAGAAATAATCGCAAAAATATACTTGACAATAATTTTACAAAGTGTACCGAAAAAAGCACATGATAACAAACATTCGTAATGTTATTGTCAAATTCGAATTTGCAATCGTCGCCTGTCTTTAAATAATTTCTATGCCACACGAAAATGAGCTGCATGTCTTTGGGAAAAAAAAGAGTATAATTGTCCAACCTTTTTGCACAACGACATTTCCAAAGACAAGTTCTGTGCTTGTACATACGTGATGAATCTAAAACCTCTGTAACAGAAGCATGTGCGGTAATGTAAACAAATATCTTGTCTGTTAATAACAAACCTGATTACAGTTCTGATTTATAATATCATTGTCATAATTTATAGTTTTATAGTTTATAAGATTATTAATGACGACCTTTGCATATATTGTATTACACCTCTATCTACTGCCCTTTTCAGCGTATCCTGCTGTTTTTTATAATACGCCAATAAATCAAAATGAAATAGATTAATAACCATACAAAAGTGGAGACTTCCAAATAATATCAACCCTAAAATGTGGAATTTAAACCGACAATTTGCATGACTTTGATAATTTAATTCAGTCAGAATAGTCCTACTACTATTTTCTCGAATCTTTGCAGTTCATGTCTTTCATTTGTATAGTATTATATTTTACCTGAGATATGCTACCATTCTGTTTCTGAAGTGGCAGATTAAGCAGATCCAAAAAGAATTTTCTCGAATCTTTACAGTTGTCTTTCATTTGTATTGTATTATATTTTACCTGAGATATGCTACCATTCTGTTCCTGAAGGGCAGATTAAGCAGATCCAGTAAGAAATCTACCCTAGCATTGGCATCCTTCCTGCTCATCTTGTGTAGTGTGGCGAAATAGATCAACATTTCTTTGATTGTGAATTCCCCGTACAGGGCAAGGTCCTGTCAAATGAAGGTGAAAATTATGGGTATTCAGCTAGGAATAAGTCTTTTGTATTTTCCTAGCTAAATGTAAGAATCCATCCCGGACCCTATCCCCTGGACATCCACCCCCCCCCTAGAACAACTACCCCCTAGGGTAACCACCCCTGGGACAACTACCCCGGGACATCTACCTCCTGGACAACTACCCCCTAGGACAACTGCCCCGGACAACTACCCCCTAGGATAGTTATCCGGGGGGTAGTCGTCCTAGAGGGTGGTTGCCCTATAGGTAGTTGACTGGGGTGGTTATCCGGGGGTGGATTTCCAGGGGGTAGGTGTCCTAGAACCCTTATTGCAATGGCTATCCATTCTTCTCACACATGTTTTACCATTGTGAAGAGTAAGAAATGTTATTTTCTCTTTTATCATATTGGTCATATCGCTTTGTGGTCATATCGCTCTTCAAGTTTTTGTAATTGTAAAGACCAGTTATGGTCATGCGATTGCATTGTGAAAGAAACGTTGTGGAATCGATCAGAAAAGGTTGATCATCTAGCATCTAGCATCTGCAAGGTTCTGGAATCATCAAAATGATAAGAAATTTGGCCCATTCTTCGTAAAGTTACAAGCACTATACACAGAAAGATGTATATGGGACTACCCTATATCTCTCACAGACCATGAGAGAAACAAATTTACCAAATATATGAATTAGTAGGCGGTTTCCCGGCAAATTTTGTATCATCATGTATTAGTCAAAACATATTCTGTCACATGATTGGTAATGAGAGCTTCCATTTCTTTTTTTGAAATTGGGGCGTTTCCAATACTGGTCTTTACCTTTAAAAAAGAAGAAGGCATAATGTAGGAGAAATAAAATTAACTTTGCACGTGAAGTTACCTGAGGCATGTAGCCGACCCGACTACCAGGGATACCATGACCTCGAGTGAGTGGAGGTCGACCTAGGGTTAGGACCAAGCCTTGGTCTTTACTTAGCTGGCCCAAGCAACATCGCAGGAGTGTGGTCTTTCCGCATCCACTGGGACCAAGCAGACCGTAGCTATAGCAAGAGTTGAAGGTCATCAGTAAGGTATGGCTAGAAAGCATTGTACCATCATCGTCATCATCATCATCATCATTATCATTATCATTATCATCATCATCATCATTATCATCATCATTATCATCATCATCATCATCGTCATCATTATCATCATCATCATCATCATCATCTTTATCATCATCAGTATCATTATCTTCATCATTATTATCATCTTCATCATCATTATCACGATCCCCATATCCACGATCACCACCTCCGCCATGCCCACCATAATTATCATTATCATCATTGTCTTCATTACCTACATCACCACCACCATCACCATCATCATCATCATCGTCATCATCATCACTAATGTTATTCTACTTATTATAATCATTATAAACATTTCACAATAACAATGTCTTTATCGTTAAATTCTGTATGCTTGGCATGATGGTATTTTCAAGATCATATTTATGCAATTTGTTAGGTTGAGGACAATTATAGAATCACATGCCTCATTTAGCTCAATCTACGAACATAAATCATGGGGAAAGGGTTAACAAAATAAAACAAAACCAATGCGATCGACTACCTAACATTGGTGCCTTTATTAACCTAATCACGATTTACACGTCATCACGTAGAAATGAATATTCATAGTTCAATGGTTTGCATATTCATTAACATGAGATGAATTCATTAACCATTCATGACATTTGTACAATAATTGCAAAATATCCCTAATCGTTAATGACTCTTACTCTCAAGATTGTTGTTTTATGAAACTTGGAGAACTATGGTGTCACAGTATTTTAACGAAATGTAGTACAATATGTCAAATACATGCAGTTAATACTTTATTTGGAATAAATGTTAAACGGTATGATATCAATTTTCTATTTAACTTACATTTTTCCTTTTGGTACTTTCATCTCCAGGTTCTGCAATACTTGTAATTTGCCTTTGCCTCGTCCATAATGCTTGCTCAAGTTATAGCACTCAATTGCATGGGTTCCTATATCATCCATGGTACCGAGTGGTCATGAGTGGTGGGTCGAAAGTTCAGTCGTGTAGCAGTCGCTTCTTACTCCTTAGTCGCCTGTAAAAGTAGGTGATAAGTCGAAATTGTGTTTATCAAAGACGTGGTTGATCTGGCATGGAGCGTTAATATAATCTTTCAGAAGGGCTAATCATTTTTTGTTTACACCTTGACCTTGTACCTTCAGATATGCATTAGACAAATTAGATAGTAGCATACCTTCGAGGACATTAATAATTTACTGAGCAAATGGGCACGAGTTAATGATGTAAGAGAAGAGTGTGGGGAGGCGTGTGTTCTTGGATGCGTGTGTGCGTGTGTATGCGTTGGATCCATAGTCATATATCTCTTCATGTGCAAAATGATAATGCTTTCCTCTGCTTTTGCCAAAACAATGGTGTGAATACTAGCTTTCACTTTCTATGTCTCACGGCTGTCCGGTATGATTATCTTCATACATTTTTCAAGAGATTTAGGCATATAAATATTCTAAAGAAGAGACTGATCATATCATAACCTAGTATTTTGCAAAGTAATTTGCTATATATATCATATGCATTGGAAAAAGACAATTATGCGCATACTGACTATTATTGTGTATTAGTTGAATACCCTGGAATATATCAAATCAGTATTGATTAGATTTGCCTAAGATTAATACTTTCATTTTACTAAAAAAGTACAATTTTTTTTTTATTACCAAAAAAACGATTAAATTAGTTCTATTCATACTCAAAAGTAGATAATATTCTGCTCATAAAGTTAAGTAGTACCTTAAAGTAGGCGGTAATAATCTTTTAATAATTGGTATACCTGTATTGAACTTTAATCCCATTAAGCAAATTTAAGGGCTTTGGCACTAAATGAATACTATTTGTTTTTTCACCTCGTAAATCAAAATGTGTAAAATGAATGGACACTGCGTCATGCACTGTTTAAAAATTAATTATTATCATTATACCGCATATTTCTAAAGTGATGTAGCAATCAGGAATGGGTTTAAGAAAAATGATACTCCATTTTGTTGAATATTTAACGAAGATTAACAAATAATGTTGCAGACACATTGCTTTCATGTAGGTCCCATCATATTTCTCTTAGTTAATTCAGTACTCCATATTGACCACTTATCTTTGTTATTTATTATGTATTAGTGAAAAAACAATTTGTAATTTATTTGAAATGTATATGTAACATGAAAACTATGAAAATAAATGAAATGAAAATACAATGATGTATACAAGGCAATGGGAAAGCTTTACTAAATCCAGGATTAGAGTTATTGTCATCTTCTGTTACGTCATGGTTATATTCCCTTGTATGTCGGGCCCATCCATGATGATATTAATGACTTTTTTTCTCAATGACCTTCCCGTGGTATATAGGTCAAAGAATGAGAACGCTGTTTTCAGTCATTGAGCGCATATAACCAGTTTGAGAAAAACTCCTTAACCTCATCTTTATCATATAAGTAGTGATTAGTCAACTCGTTCAAGTATTCAATCTATTTGTATTTACTCCCAAGCTTATCACTGTAAGAACTTTAACCCTTCAAAGACCTTTCCATGTCTCTTCAGACAAAATTAATTATGATCGTACGGGATAAGCTCACAAGGTCATTAAGAGCAATAATTCTTATTATTTCGAAATGTTAATCTATACAACCTCATACGTGCTGGAAAGGATTTACAGCTCAGAGAGTCAGTTCGCCTAATTCATAAACTAAGGTACTCGATTTATCTTTACACAATTACCTCCAAGTGCGATACAGGCTACTCGTGCCATTTTTGATACGATTCATCTTCACCAATTTAAAAATACACGTCTAATTTATTTAGATTGGCCCAAAGTACAATGGAACAGGAACTTATGGATTTTGAATTAACATTCGACGAAATACAAACCTCGCCATTTTCTCAGCATACTTTTTATGGAAAATTCATCAATTTCTATTTTCTCCAATGAAACTGTTTTTATCGTACATGCAAAATTATATACAAATAATACTGATACATGTATACATAACATAAGAGTAATGTTGATTGAACAGTAATTGTTTTAAAACGATATTTTTAGACATACATCTGCTTACTATTAAATGACAAAAGATATATACGTAAATATATATCACTATATTCAGGTGAAGTTGTTAATGAGAACTAGAAGTTAGCACAATAGTCATAATAAGTTAGTCATGATATTGAATATGTGGGCATTTGAAGAGCCATCCTTTTCTGGTGACTCTTTTTCTTTGATACTCTTCCATGCATACATAAAAAGCATGAAAAAGCTAACCAATTATGTTTCACTTTTCTCAGAACTCAATATTCTCTTCAATTATATGGTAGCTATGCTATTAGGGAAGCAGTAATTGGGTCATACGAAGAATTGAAACATTGCCAAATTATATCAAGTAGTGATAATTAATCAAACAAATTAAATAAACACTATGATCTCTTACGAACTTTGGTGTCAGGACGTGTATACTTGACGTAGTGTTGATAACGTAAATTAAAGATAATTTAAGGTTGTAGAGTTTGGCCTGAGTTTGGCCTGAGTTTGGCCTGAGTCTGGCCTGAGTCTGGCCTGAGTTTGTTCTTATTCAAATCATCTGGTAAACAGAAAGGTAATGAAATAGTGGTCTGTAAATTGGGTAGTAACTTGTTTCCATTAGCTTTTAACTGAGAAAGTGCAATGAATGAAATTTAATTTGATGGGTTTCGATTTTTGTTTTGACACCTCACGAATTCATTAGGGATATATCACGATAAATCATTGTGTTTTTTGACCACCTCTTCCGCATTTGATCATCTTTCATTATGTTTTCTGTTTTATGTATATAGGCCCTAATTCATTGTACATAATGAACTGTTGTTTACTCTTTATATTTGTAAAAATGCAAATTTGAAATTAAATGAATGTGAAATGAATACGTGGACTGTATGTGATGGATGGAAATGATTAAATAACAAGTTTTTCATACAATCTCGAAGCCGATAGGTGGAGAAAATGATCCGCAAGTTCAATACCACAGAATCATAATATCGGATAGCGCCATCAAAAGAAGTTAACTGAACAATTCATAAAACATGCATTTTTAACAGAATGCCTGTTGAAATGGAACAGTGCCAGACAGAAGCATTAGAATTCGAAGTGACATAATACAAATTGCTATTAATAGGAAAAACGTAATGTATTCGCCTGAGAAGAAGAAAATCACACTATACAGTATGTTAATTAGCATTCGATATTGAACATTGCGTAAATTACTAGACAAAAGTCGTATTCATCCTAGAAGCCTGACAGCCACCATGAAACCTAGATTTACATAAGGTTCACGATACTAACATCCCACGAGATCGACATCCCTCAAGACCGACAGCCCACGAAACACACAGATCATTAGACCAATAGACAGTGAGACCGTCGGCCATTGAGACTGACACAACAAAGAATACATGGACATAAGGGAAGAAAGAAATTGGTGGTTTCTTGGGACGTCGGTACAGTGAACCCTCCCAAAACGTTGCCATGATACATTATTTTACAAGAACTTAAAGACACAACAAATGGTTGCAATCATCTCAAGAGAAAATGATAAAACTATAAAGTTATGCCTGACTTGATATACACAAATCATGTAAGAGCTCCCATCGTGTGAAGGGCTTAACTGTTCAAACTCATTGCTAACTGAAAAAATGAATACCAGTTAGTAGAGTTTTTTCTGGGAAGAGCCTATACATGGACGTCCTATTTATCAATCAATCGAGTCAAAGGAATGCAATAGCTCATGGCACTTGAATAATAATAATGTTGCGTAATAGTGGACACGAATTGACGTTCAAATCATGGTTTGGCGTTACTCTTCTTCACAGGGTTTCTTGGTCAATCGACAGCTTTAAATCCTATCCAAGAGAAACGAGATGGCGTTCGGATTCTTAAAGTTCTGTTTCAAACATACAGGTGCTCATTGCACTTGATTTAATGATGCTTAGTAATGGAAACACATCACGGGTTCGTGTAACTCTTTTATTAAGATACTCTACTGGTTAGTACGGCCAATCGACAGCTCACACTCCTATCCGAGAGACTGTATGAAGAATACACTTACCAGATACTGATCTTGGGCTTACTGGTTCCTGCTACCTTGGTTCACGATTGGAAACTAAATGAAGACTTGACAACTAACCATGCCTTAGCATCGTAAGAGACGCGAGTTCAAAGTCAAAGAATTCAAGGACCTTGTTGATTAATCTTAGATGATCCCTCACGGATTAATTATTTACTTAATTAGATAACCGATAATTACTACAGACTTGTCGCGAATACCTCTTACCTCAGATAAGGTCATTTTGTTTGCCTACTTTGGTTATAGGAGATAGACTGAGATAGATAGAGAGAGACGTGAAGGTCGAAAAAGGAAGCTATAGAATAGATTTTTGATTTCCCCTAATCGTGACCCTGATACATATGCTATTTAATTCCAGCCCCTGCCTTCTTCTTCTTTTTTCTCGTATTAACCTCTTTCTTACCCTCCTTCATCCCCTTTCTCTCTCTCTCTTTCCTTTTCTCTCTCTCTCTCTCTCGCGCCCCTTCTCTCTTTCGCTCTCAAATCAAATCAAATTGAACAATTTCAAATCATTCTAAATCAATTAAAATCAATTAAACTCAAATTAGATTAACTCTCATCAAATAGAATTAGGGCGAATAAAATGAAATGAAATAAATCATATGATATCGAATCAACTCAAATTAAAGGGATAGTTGAGTTCTTGTTTAAGACCACAAATGTCTTGAAAGTGCATGTTCATTGCTCTTATTCTTATTTATGAATTTTTTTAGTGCCCTTTTAGAACCTAAAATTGCTATGAAGGTAATTTCAAACCCCAAAATGTGTAAACTTAGATTAAATACGATAATACCAAAGATCAGCTCCACTTAAGAAATAATACGGCGACCGTTAACTAATTAATTAATTAATAATAACAATACACGGGCCGGTTGGTTGTGCGTATAACACGAAAAAGCCAACAAAAAGCCAATATTAGCATTGGCTGGAATAAAACGTATAAGGCGCTATGTCGTTTTTCAACGGCTGCCTTAAGCTGTGTATTGATGTACACTGTTTGAGGTATAGTAGTTTATTACAAAAAGCGGGTTCTCTGCTCAATATATTATTTGAAAAGGGAGAATGACCGAGTATTACACGAGTGTCTGTTGCAGCCCTGATATTATATCCTTCAATTTCTTGGTTGCTCTAAACGTTTAAACCAAACAAATGGTAAAATGTTATGATAATATGAACACATAATCACACCTCGCGGGAAATATCAAGAATGGGGGTTTGCTCAGATTTACGATTTGCTTGATTCACATCGAATAATAATTGAATCAAATGGAAACAAATCAAATCAAATCAAATCAAATTAAATTAAATCGAATCAAATCAAACGAGATCAAATCGAATCAAATCGAATCAAATCAAACGAAATCACATCAAATCAAATCAAATCAAACGAGATCAAATCGAATCAAGTCAAATCAAACGAGATCAAATCAAATCAAATCAAATCAAACGAGATCAAATCAAATCAAATCAAATCAAACGAGATCAAATCGAATCAAATCAAATCAAACGAGATCAAATCAAATCAAATCAAATCAAATCAAGTCAAGTCAAATCAAATCAAATCACATCAAATCAAATCAAATCAAATCAAATCATATCATTTCAAATCGCATTGAAGGGCAATCCAAACCTGAATGAAAGCAGGAAATCAGAGAAATTGAATGGCGAAATATTAAATTAACTCGGAACAGTAATACAAAAATAATGAATGTCTGAAATATGATATCACTAAATCTATAAGAATCTCAAACAGGGAATTTTGTCAGCGAATTGTGACATAGTGATGGATAACTCTCTCGTTTGTCATGTACAAACATATCACTAATTGTTTTTTTTTTCTCTCCAAAGAGCCTTCACCCTTGGGGCACTACTCAAACTACATTATGGAAAGTATATTATAATAATAACCTGTAATAATTACAGGTCCTCTATAATAGAAAAGACCATCCGGAGTCATACGTATTAGGATATTAGGACTACACACCCCAAGAAAGACTACCGAGTCAGAGTCCTTTTTCAGGACTCCTCAACCCTCTCTCTCTCTCTCTCTCTCACACACATGGTGCACCCGCAAACCTACTGTCTATTAAGATTTGTTTTAAATGAAATTTTAGTTATTAAAACAATGGGATTCTAGTCCAGTACTACCTCACAGTGATATTACCGATTTAGCCATTGTTAAGTGCTCACACGTATAGTTATTACAACTTTCAAAAATTCTTAGCATTCTTAGTTTTTGTCCTATTCGTTTAAACTTGCGCCAGTCTTCTTCTCTGGGCCATTCTCTCTTAATATTAGCCATTACTTGTAGTGCGAATAGCGGTAAGAAATATTGTTATTAAACACTACTTATTTATTACGCACACTGGGGCCCCGAACCCCAGGCATGTGTATTATTCTATAGCTTTGTTGACCATACACAGAAGTATACAAAGCGAATAAAATCCTATTAAATTCATCAATATGTTCCATATGATTGCATTTAATTACTATTGGACAATTAACAAAGCGTTTTTCAGGTCAGAATTCGCTTTCGGTAGCACTTATTTTTCAGTTACACAAGTCCTCGATGATTTTGACCTAGCTTTACCTCGAAGTCAATGATGTGCTCACTGGAATCGACCTTCACATCGTACAGGCCTCTCAAGTCTCGATTGTACAGGGTGTATAACAAAAAGGAACACTTTAGTAAATAATTATTATTTTTGAAAAGTAATCAAGATTGGACATTTTTAAAAATCTGGATGATTTTTTTTTTCGTATGCAAAAGAATTATTTAACAATTTGCGTGTGAGTGAACACCGGCAACTAAGTGAAAGTTGATAAACATCTGTGCAGACTGCAGTCTGCACAGATCTCAACGTAAAAGTGCACGTCAGAGAGCAATTATCGGTTGTGTGAGCTATCGGTAGTGATGTGAACAGTTGTTTGAGCCTCTACTTCTACATGCCCTGGTGGCGTCTCGCTCCCCTTCACCCTCTGTCTCTTCCTCTAGCTCACATTCTCTCTCTCTCTCTCTCTCTCTCCCCCATCTCTGTCTCCCTCGCTCCCCTCCACACCCTCTCTCCCTCCCTCCCCCTCTCCTCCATCACCCTACACCCCCCTCTCTCTCTATATATATATATCCCAAATCGTTCCAGGTTGTTACTTACCTGCACACTTTACTCATTGCAATATCGAACTTTTTTAACGATTATTTTTATTTGATTCGTGTTGTAATTTATTTATCCCGTCCCTCTTCCAAATGTCGGGATGCGTGCTTTCTCAAATCATCGCGCTCCAGTAATGTCGTCAAAAGCTTCATATGGAAAGAGCTTGAGCATGTCACATATATGAAAATCTGGATACTGCGATGTTTTACTTTTTTTGTATACACTGTGTAGAATTTAGTGTTCGGGAATTCCCCTTTCAATCCCGCGCCTGCGGTGGCGTAAAAACTGTAATAACAGTCTTTGTATAACAGTCTTTGTAAAACCACCGATGCAATGAAGAAGAGAGGTTATGACTTTTTAACATCAATCAAGTGAGAAAACTTGACCCCCTTTTTTTCATAGTACTTTACTAAACTAGTTGTCAGTTTAATTACATTTGTATGGTTCACTGCTAGTCTAGAGAGTTAAACCCAAATTGTTTTGGTGGAACGGAGTCGAGAATAATTAATGAAGGAAATGAAACGGGATCATGAACTTCATTGGTACCAATATTATTATTGTTAGTAGTAGTACTAGTAGTAGTCGAAGTAGTAGTAATAGTATAATTTATCAGATAACCTAATTATAAACAAAAATATGCAAATTACAATGCCACCAGGAGTTAGGGCGAAACTTCTTTGTAAGAAATCTTCCATATAATGACATAATTTACTTTCATTGCTAAAACAAAAAACAAACAATCAAACTAACAAACAAACGAAAACGTCTGTACTCTTTGGAAGGGGTTTGCTTGAATATTAGTAGAAATCAAAATGAAGAAAAATGTGTCGATGATATTATTTATTACAATTACTTTTAAAAGGATCAACAGTCTGCCATACCATTGGCAGTTCTATCTAGTATAGTTTGAAGTCAGTGTAAGCCCCTCCCCCTCTCCTACACCCCAACGGTTTGAAAGCTCAGATGAATAGAATTTTCCAATGGCCTAAACCGAAAAGCGCTTCATTGTTCAATAATAATTTTACTTTCCGATGAGCGTATATAAATTAAAGATTAATCTTTCAAATTAGATTTCCCATCTAGAGGCGTGGGTGGTGAATTTTATACAACAATAGAAACCCGTAGGGCCACTGTATTGTATGGGTTATCTAAAAGTTGTTTTGAAATCCTTTTCTTCCCCTGTTTCATAGCGTTCATAACCACTCACAATGGCAATGGTACTTGCCAAAAGCGTTATTTATTCCTCGGAGGTCCTATTGAATTGGAGGTCTTATTGAAGTCATATGTCTGTATAAAACGAGAATATTAATGATTAAAAGGTACACCTCCAACCGGTTTTTATTAGTTCACGAATTGCACTATTCCATTAGTAAACCATGAATTTTCTCTTCGTCATCATTTGTTGCGTCATGTTAGGCCAACACGTGACCATATGTTTGTTAATATTATATATACGGTTACCCTTGAAAGATAAAGTTGATATCTTCTCAGAACTTTTATTGACCAGTCTAATGAGTCATAGAGATTGATGTATGAAAAATTGTTATAAAATATTAAAATTGCGATCACTTTATAGTTATAAGAGATTCATTTCATGAATATGATCTAACTATAAACAATACAAATATGTTGTTGAAGTACACCAACCAGATAATCTTGAGTTACTGGAAGGGAATACAATTGCATTCAGAGAAAGAAATGGCATAGATTTTTTCTATTATAATTGTTTTTTGTTAATAAGATGACGTGGGTTGTTTTGAAAAACAAAATATAGACCTTAACAAATTAATATTACGCATGCTATTCTGCTAGATATTAATTTATTAACCAGCCCGCATAACTTAACTGATCTCTGAGAAGTGACTTAGTTTTGTTAATAAGCAGCGCTTTGCA